TGGACATGCAGGTGAATGAGCCGGTGATGTTGTAGCTGATCTGGTTAGGTCCTGTGATGGTGTTGCTGGTGTAGATATGTGGGCAGAGTTGGCATCAAGGTTTGTTGCATCGGTTGGTTCCTGAGTTAGAGTTGTTATGGTGCGGTGTGTGGTTGCTGGTGATTACAGGTAATATCTCACCCATAGGGATGTTCTAATAAGCTTCTTTCACCGACTAGACTCCTTCCTAGTCTGGCCCCATTCCTTTCCATGGTACAGTTTTTGTTAGTTCCAGCAGACATCTCTGGTAGTAAGAAGGGGTTTTCTCATGACTGGAAGCCCCCTTAGTCTTGCTCCACTCCCTTTTATAACTTTGGCACAAGGTGGGAATCTTTTGCCTGTGCTTGGTTCCCACCCCTCCTTCTAAATGGAAAAGTACCAGGTTTAAGATGGATTTCATATCAGGTGACATGGCCACGTATTAACTCCTAGTCTCCATTCCCCGTGGGCTGGCCCACACATACACAGGAAGGCTTTCAAGAAACTAAGGCCATTTAAAACTGATTGTTTCTGGAGCATCCTTAATGGCCTCCACTTAATATGTTTACATCAGTGATACAAGTTTATATCTTCTTCTCTCAACTCCAGATATAGAAATAATACATGAAAACAAATAGGATGAACACACTTAGTAGATTACAAGCTTTCTAATGACACCATACAACGGGTATTTAGCGTAAAACATATGCCAGTTATGTCCTATTCATAAGCATACTTCCATAAAGCTTATGGAGTGCAACATCACACCCATGTTTTTTAATTTTCCCTCATAGGTCATATTTTCTAGACCTTTAATCATTTTTGTTGCTCTTCTCTGGACTTCCTCCAATTTGTCCACATCTTTCCTGAAATATGGAGCCCAGAACTGGACACAACATTCCAGTTGAGGCTTAATCAGCACGGAGTAGAGTGGAAGAATTACTTCTCGTATCTTGCTTACCACACTCTTGCTAAGACAGTCCAAAATTATGTTTTTTTTTTTGCAACAGCGTTACACTGTTGACCCACACTTAGCTTGTGACCCACTATGACCCCCTGATCCCTTTCTGCAGTACTCCTTCCTAGGCCGTCATTTCCCATTTTGTATGTGTGCAACTGATTGTTCCTTCCTAAGTGGAGCACTTTACATTTTTCCTTATTGAATTTCATTGTATTTCCTTCAGACCATTTCTCCAGTTTGTCCACCACATTTTGGATTTTAATCCTAGCCTCCAAAGCACTTGCAACCCCTCTCAGCTTGGTATCATCCACAAACTCTATCAGTGAACTCTCTATGCCATGATCTAAATCATTTATGAAGACATTGAACAGAGCCGGACCCAGAACTGATCCCTTCAGGACCCCACTCATTATGCCCTTCCAGCCTGACTGTGAACCACTGAGGACTACTTTCTGGGAACAATTTTCCAACCGGTTTTGCACCACTTTATAGTAGCTCCATCGAGGTTGTATTTTCCTAGTTTGTTTATGAGAAGGTCATGGGAGACAGTATCTAAAGCTTTACTAAAGTCAAGATTATACCACATCTACCGCATCCCTCCCTTCCACAAGGCTTGTTACCCTGTCAAGGAAAGCTATCACGTTGCTTTGACATGATTTATTATTGACAAATCCATGTTGGCTGTTACTTAGCACCTTGTTATCTTCTAGGTGTTTGAAAACTGATTGCTTGATTATTTGTTTCGTTATCTTTCCGGTTACTGAAGCTAATCTGACTGGTCTGTAATTCCCTGGGTCGTCCTTATTTCACTTTTTATAGATTGGCACTAGATTTGCCCTTTTCCAGTCTTCTGGAAAATCTCCTGTCTTCCATGACTTTTCAGAGATAATCGCTAATGGCTCAGATATCTCCTCAGTCAGCTCCCTGAGGATGTATTTCATCAGGCCCTGTTGACTTGAAGATATTGAACTTGTCTACGCAATTTTTAACCTGTTCTTTCTCTATTTTAACCTCTGAGACTACCTCATTTTTGCTGGTGTTCACTACATAAGACGTCTGATTGCTACTAACCTTCTGGTGAAAACTGAAACAATAAAGTCATTTAGCACTTCTGCCATTTCCATTGTCTGTTATTGTCTTTCCCCCCTTCACTGAGTAATGCGCCTACCCTGTCCTTGGTTTTCATCTTCCTTCTAATGTATTTGTAGAATGTTTCCTTCTTACCCTTTCTGTCTCTAGCTAGTTTAATCTCGTTTTATGCCTTGGCCTTTCTAACTTTGTCCTGACATGCTTGTGTTGTGTGTTTATATTAATCCTTCATAATCTGACTTAGTTTCCACTTTTTGTGGGACTCTTTTTTGAGTTTCAGATCATTGAAGATCTCCTGGTTTAGACAGAGTGGTCTCTTGCCATCCTTCCTACGCAGTGAGATAGTTTGCTCCTGTGCCTTTAATATGCCAACTGTCTTTAATACATGGATATAAATAATCCCCAGATTTTCCATCACACTTTTCATCAGTTAATCACAAACCACTCTCTCTCTTTAGATTCCTGGAGATCCTAACACCTGGATTCCGTCTGGAAACCCCCTACCCACCTCGACAACCTCCGGGATTAATACTGTCCTGAAATACAAGCAAGGCCGAAACGCTCTTCTCCATTCTATTATTCTATAAATAAATTCCTTTAGCCGGGTGTGACGTCATGCGCGTGAGACCCATTTTGCTGCAACGCCCTTGACATGGGGCGAGGAAGAAAATGTGTCAGCATGAATGTTTACACAATTTAATGATAAGGAATTTAGTAACCTGTTCTGCGAATGGGAGGGGAGCTGTCCTAATGGAACCAACTCCATGGCCATCCTTGGTTTCCTTGGGATGGTTTCACTGGACCCCCCATTTAGTGTCAATCGGCCATTGCTCCATTATTGTGAATGGAACCAGGTCCCCGGCTGCTGTCAATTTGCCATTGTTGTGTGATTTCCAGCACCCGATGAACTGACTAAGCACCTCTAATGTGCAAACAGTCGCACCTCTACCCTTGTGACTAAGCTGAGTATCACCTCTTATCTCTGTTGCACGAACCAGCTGATTGTATGGAACAAGTTCTATAAAACACAAGCTGATGGGCTGAGAAAGGGTCAGTCTGAATTGTATTTAAAGACGGAGTGGCCAGGCATGAGGGTCGTGTAATATATTACATTTTAGGAAATCATTCACTGTTACTGCCTATGTATATATGAATCCGATTCTGTCTTTGGACTATATAGAGAGAAAAGGGGCCGTGCTAGACGGGTTAGTGCATCTCTTCAATTTACAGAGAACTTGGAGGTGAACGGAACCATTGTGCAGCTGAAGGTAAGAGATTTTAAGCCGTGTTAAATTATTGTTTGTAATCTTTCATGATATGCTGCAAAGCTTGTAAAGGCTGGAGATATATTTCAAATGCAAGCTCCCATTGTCAAACCCCACGACGATGATAGAGCAGGGATAAAGTGGCTCAGTTTGTGCAAAGGAAAAGAAGCCCCACTCATGGAATGGTGTGTGAACGAAATAGGGAGATTTTCAAAGGCAAAACCAGCAGCGCGGGGGCCAGCGTCTGCTGAAACTCACTGGGAGTCGGGTCTCAAACACCCTTCGGCTGCTTTGAACGTCCCAGGTTCAGGGAACAGAGAAGAACCAGTTGACATAATTGATTTGGACTGTCAAAAAGACTTTGGCAAGCTCCCTCACTGTAGGGCAGTAAGAGGGCCGGCCCACAACATTGTGGCACCTTAGACGGGGAGCTCAAATGACGCCCCATGCCCCCTCGCTTGGGCCAAAACTTTGAAAGGTCTCAATTCTGCCTTCTTCCTGTTCTACTCCTCTCATGGTTTGGCTCGGCTACCTACCCAGTAAAGGAGAACTAACAACTTAAAATGCCTTGTTCAAATATACTGCTGAAAAAATCCTGAAAAAATGGGAATGTTTTGTCTTCTCAATTCCAGAATTAAACATTTTGATTTTTTTCAACTCAAAATGTCATTTCAAAATTGGAGGCAACATTTATCTTTAAACCATTTTAAGAATGTTTTTAAATGCCTGAAAACGAACCCAAACCATTTTTTGTTCGGCTTTTCGGTCAGATGAGAATTTTGGTTCAACCGAAATGTGTTTTTATTTCCGGATCGTTTGGAACTACCAGTGAAGCAAAATATTGGTTATTTGTGCAGCTCTGATCCCTGGTGCTTTCCCCCCCAGATCTCGGCTGGAATTCCCTTTACATCCTCATTTCGGTCTTGACTCTCTCCTCCTCCCCCCCGGCGGAGCTCTCCGTGTCAGCCGTGAGAGGCTCCGTTCAGCTCCATCCCAGCCCCGTGCGCCTCCCAGCACCAAGATGGTTTCCTTCATCCTCTGCCTTCTCCCTGCTCTCCTAGCTACAACGAGTGCACAAGGTGAGTCATCCGCTGCTGTGGCCATGTAACCCCCCCTGGACTTGGACCCTTTATACCCCACGGATCCCCAGTCAGGGGAACATCCAGCATGTGCAGGGAGGGGGACGAGCTCTGTGTGGGGTACAGGGCCTTGTCTATACTACGGCTATTGAAGCAGTTTAGGCACAGTGCGGTAGCTCGGCCGGCAGAGGCCCGTAGTGAAGACGCCGCCAGTCCCAATGGACGGGGTTTTTCCGTCCCTGTGGGAACTCCCCTCCCTGAGCCGGTAGCCAGGCCGAGGGAAGCATTCACCAGTCGACCTGCATCTACTCCAGGGGTTAGATCGGCCGAGCTGCGGTGCTCAGGGTGTGGACTTTTCAACCCCCCTGAGCAGTGTATCTAGATCACCCTGGTTAGTGTAGACCAGGCCTGAGGGACACCGTTACCAGATACTGCCCTGAATTCTCATTTCCACCAAGGCCCCTCGGCACTGCTTTGGCAGCATAAAGGGGACTGAATATAGGAGTAAATGACACTGCTAAGGGCCTGAGTGTAACCTGGAATCAGGGCTCTCCAACCGAGCAAACAGAGGCAGAATGAGATCCAATGGCTGGGAGTTGAATTTAGACCAATCCAAGGTGCAGCATGTGTGCAGGGCTTTGAAGGGCAGAGATTGTTCACACAGAGGTCCTCAAGAGGTCTGTGCATGTCCATGTACTGTTAATGCCACTTGTATCAATGGTAATTTGGGGAACAAGGGACAATGAACGTCCTTTTGTTCTGTTTTTTGCCTGGCAATTTCCATCCTTCCCATTCCCCACAGACTGCGAACGGCTGGGCTGATCCAGAGGGATGGGTGCAAAGTTGGCTTTACCTTAAACTCAGGGCCATGTAACCGGGATCTAAACCTCGGGGACCAGTCATCAGAGAGCCTTCCCAACGGGGAGCAATCCCCTCAAGCCTAGGGGCCAAGACAGCTGGCTTCTGCACCCCAAACCCTTCTGTCACACCCCTCTGCTGGCCGGCTGCAGGGCCGGCCCACAACATTTTTGCACCTGAGGTGGGGCGCTCAAATGACGCCCCCATGCCCCGTCGCTTGGGCTAAAACTTTGAAAGGTCTCAATTCTGCCTTCTTCCTGTACTACTCCTCTCATGGTACGGCTCTGTTATCTACCCAGTAAAGGAGAACCAACAACTTAAAATGCCTTGTTCAAACATTTTAAGTAACACTTAACTTTCAAACACCTGAACAAGAAATGTAACTTTTCTTGTCTGCATAGTAAACACTGGCATTTTTATCTGTTTGAATAATCAAAGTGGTGCTTTCCGTGCCTTCTTGGTTGCAAAGAATTGAACTGCTCCCTGCTGAAGGTCCACAGTCTGGGCCAGCTCGTGCTCTACTGAGATGGTTGCAAGGCCGACCAGCCTCTCCTGTGTCATTGTGGAGCGCAGATGTGTGTTTATTAACTTCAGTTTGGAGAAGCTGCGTTCTCCACTGGCAACTGTTACAGGAAGTGTTAGAATTATGCATAGAGCAACAAAAGCATTTGGAAAGAGGTGGTCATCTTATTTGTGCACATATATTCCAGAACAGCCTTTGGAGTTGATCCTGTTGAAATGTATCTTGAAAGGGCTTTCAGTTCATCACCTAAATCACTCGCATCAATATCGCGCATGTCATCATGTGTCACTGTCTCTAGTGCCCTGCATTGCTGGTGTAGGTCTTCTTCAGGTGTAGTGAGGAGTTTTGGAATATCATACAACATCCCAAATATACTGCTGGGTTCCTTGAGCTGCATGAAACGTTCTTCAACTGACTGTATTGCACAATCCAGCACCTGGTTAAAGACTTCAATTTTGAATTGTTGTTTGGGGTCTCTTATGGGATTATCCCGTGCTTCGTAATCAAAATGTCTTCTTCTTCGGTGACTCTTGTATTCTTGAATGGGTGGGAAAATAGCTTCAGTAGTATCATCAATGTCAATACATTCTAGGAAATGCTCTCTGACAGTCACCATTGCAGGGACATTTTCACTAGTTTCTGTTGTTACAAAACACACCTTTAAAATAATTTGTTCTGTATGGCTGATGTCATGTGTGCAGTCCAGAATAACAGAGTAATATCTTGCTGACGTCAGATCTGCCACAATCTTCTGTTTGACTTTTGTTGCCAGTAACTATATGATCTCATTTTGAATTGTTTTTCCAAGGTAGTGGTGCGTGTACATTTCTTGGGTGGTGACTCTTCTTAGATGATCGTGGAGTACAGCATCAAACTCAGCCATCAGCTCCACAATTTTAAGGAAGTTTCCATTGTTTGGCACATACAGCTGATCTGAAGTGCCAGGCAGTGCTAGGTTTTGGGTAGCAAACATTCTCACATTGGCAATGAGCCTTTTCAGAACATTTTGCCAGTAAAGAGACTCTGATCCAATCTTCTCTTGATCATCTATGGTGGCCTTTAACCTTAGTCTCATCTCAAGCTCTTTCCCCCTATGGAATGCTCTCTGGTGATTTGCTGCCTTCTCATGGCATGTCAGATTTCTAGCCAGATTTTTCCAGTCCTTTGTTCCTGTAGTACCCAATGTGGCTGGAACATTAGACTGGAAGGGTTTGCAACAAAAACAGTATGCAGCATTCTGGGTTTTTGAATACATAAGCCATGGCCTCCCCACTTTGTCACCATTGGGGATTTGACGCCAGTACTGTGTTGGATGGAAACTTCTATTTTCATTGTCTTTGAGGAACATGAAGTTTTTCACTTGCTGTGGCCCATGCTGTACAAGGAAGTCCCTCAGGCTACTGCTCAAGTGGGTCCACAGTCCTGGATCATCTAGACTCCACCACACTCTTCTCTGATCTACACTTTACTTCAGGAATGTGCCTGGTTACAACATTTGAGATATGGATGCTGCAGTAGCTGCCAGATCACCTGCCCTCTGACTAACTGGAAGATCAGGCATCTCCTCACCCCTCCCATCCTCACTGGGGCCGGAAGGCTCAGCGTGAACATTTGTGTCTATGTATCTCAGGAGAGCTGCTTCCTGCTGAGATAGAAAAGCTTCCTTTGCTTTCTTTATCTGAATGCTGCCCCAGAGGGGCGTTTTCTTCTTTCACTTATGACTGCGGTTCTGTGCCAGCTACAGTGGCTCTGAACACTCAATTGAAGGGGACAAATAAGCAGGCTGGTAGCAGGGCCTGAGTGAGGGAAGATATCAGCATCTTAAGGGCCTAACTGGCTCCTACTACTTCAGTTGACTGCCTGTTCTCCTCAAATGGGTTCAGGGAAGCAGCAGGAAACAGGAAGCTCTCTGAGAAGCTGGTGTGAATCAGTCCAGGCTCCTGGGGGTGCTGGAGAGGTACACAAGAGGCTCCTCCTCCTCCTCTCTCTCCCTGCAGCGCCTGCTGCTTTCTGTTATTCCCTCTCACCTTTTCGCCTGCCTGCCTGTGATGTCTCTTGTGCCCTCCTTCCTCCAGCCCAGCACTCTACCATCTCTGTGCATCTAGAGCAGAGGGGAATACATAGGCACCCGCAGCAGACACAATTTTCTACACTCTGTGTCCTAGTGATGCGTCTGCCTCAGTTCGCCTCATGGTAAGGCCAGCCCTGGCCGGCTGGCAGCCCCGAGAGCCTGGCCGCACTCACATCAGTGGCCTTTCCCTATTTCTATGCAACCCAATAACTTTGGAACCCTACATTCCATTGACTCCAGAATGTCAGGGGATGTTCTAGACAGCACTGGACAGAACCCTATTGACTTTGGGGGAAATCAGAAAACCAGAAAGGGAAAATCGGGGACACACCAAGCCCCTTGGTGTCTGGCCAGCCCAGCCACACTTTCAACCACCTCTGTGACTGTGTGCACGTCAAAGAACCGGTTGATGGGACCATTGACATCTTCCCGTCCATCAACCCCACCCAGTCCAGCACTGCCCAGCATCCCCATGGAGGTTAACATGTTGCACCCTGAGCAGCTGATCTCCCAGACAGAAAGAAGGATGATGGTGTGTGTGTGTATGGGGGGGGGGCTGAATTGGGGGCACACAGAGCCCCTGACATGGGGGGAAGAATGAGGGGCCCTGGTATAGGGGATTGGGAAGGGGGGACACAGCGGCCCTGGCATGGTGGGGGGAGAATGGGGGACTCTGATATGGGGGATGGGTAAATGGGGGGCACACACAGCTCCTAGCATAAGGTAGGGGGTGGAGGGGATTGCATGGTATCCCTGCAATGGAAGGGGATGGCAGAGGCATGCGAGGAGTTTGGGAGGGCCATGGGTGGCTGCCAGGAGCCACAGTAAGAAGGAAACACTTGTTCTTCTTTCTCCAGGTGAGACCCTGACATGTAACACGTGCTTTGGCCAAACGGACACCTGCAATTTTGCTCCAGGGACCTGCCAAGACAACAAGGCAACTGGTGGCTGCCTCTCCGTGGCAGAAGATATTACACTGGGTAGGTGACATTGCCGTCAACCCAGGCACATCCAACCCTGCAGTCTGTCACCAGCCTCACCGCTAAGCCAACCCCAAACAGTCCATCGACAAAGCACATTCACCCGGCACAGAACACTCAGTCTGGGCTCAACACGTCATTTATTCAGGCAACGTTACGGTGTCTTATGTAGTGACTGGAAGACTCGGTGGTTCCAAATCCTGGCCCCATTGGAGTCAGTTGTAAATCTCCCATTGACTTCAGTGGGGTCAGGATCTCACCCCTTGAGCTTTATCCCCACAATGGACGGCTGCGCTGCGACAAGCGAAGCTGCTCTGGGTGGAAATGCCCGTTCTGAATCGTGTTAAAAAAGGAGATTGGCGCTGAGATCCCTTGGACACTGCCGGGCTCCCAATGTCCTGTCTGAAGCTGTTAGTCGCCTGCTCAGGGCTGGAGCTCCGCCTTACACGGTTCTTCCCTTGCTTGGGATGCAAATTCAAGATAGTTTTTGCCATTTGACTTAAAGAGATTCCAAACCGTCTCCATGTTCAACTCCCGGAGGTCCTCACGCCAGCGGATCTCGCTAGTTCCCTTCATTTCGCAACGTTTGGAATCGAAAATCTGAGTTACAGACCTGGCTTTGTTCATCCTCCCACTGAATTAAAAGAGAGTAAATGGCTCCTTCCACTTACCTTGTAAGAAGGATGCAAAGCACAACATCAGCTTTAACGTGATCTGGCATTATCTACCTACCTACCTACCTGCTTCTCTATCTATCCATCCATCTCCACCCACCCCCTCTATCTACCTACCTACCTACCTGCTTCTCTATCTATCCCCGTCCACCCCCTCTATCTATCTATCTATCTATCTATCGATCCCCATACACCCCGTCTATCTATCCATCCATCCCCATCCACCCCATCTATCTATCCATCCATCCCCATCCACCCCATCTATCTATCCATCTGCTTATCTATCTATCCACGTACACCCCTCTATCTATCTATCCATCCATCCCCATCCACCCCCTCTATCCATCTATCTATCTATCTATCCCCATCCACCCCTTCTATCTATCTATCCATCCATCCATCTATCCCCATCCACCCCTCTATCTATCCATCCATCCATCCACATATGTGCCCACCTGCCTCTGATCACACTCAGGAAATTTTCCCAGCACAGTCACAAATGGGTTTATTAAAACTTCCACCCACTCAGGGTACGGCTTCACTGCAGAGTTCACGTGGGCCGTGACCCGAGGTTTAGCCCTAACCCGCCCCCTCACTGCTCCCTACTATCCACACACAAAACCCTTTAACCTCAGGCTAGCTGATGCAATTTGGGGTGTAGTTTAGATCCGGGTTCCTCTTTAATTTCTTGAATTGTGGGCCCCCTAACTAGACACAGGATCCCAGCAGCGTCACCCCAGGGAAAAATATGCAGGGAAAATAACCTCCCTGCTGTTACTCGAGGTTCCCCTCCCAGCCTCTCATTTTCTTTTTTGGTTTTCTGTCTTTAATGAAGATGGGACACAGAACACGTACTTCTACAAACAGTGTCTGAGTAGCTATAAGAGTGACATCCAAGTCCCCATCTCTTTCACTGTTGGGAATGGCAAGTATGTGAGGATCAACACCACATGGTGCAACAACACAGATAACTGTAACTCGGCTGTACTTGGAGGTAAGTTATGAGTGTGTTTTTACCGTCCCTCTTTAATGGCTTGTCGACATGAACAGTGAGACGGCGCTGAGCTGGGCTGTGAATCCAGCTCTCCGTGTGCCCCCTGCCGATGCCCGTGACCCTTCGGGCGCTTTGGAAGGGCACTAGCTCAAAGCACATTAACAAACGGTTCACGCACGTCAGCAGGGTGCACGTGGCCAGCTAGGGCGTGTCAGTCTGGTGCAGGGTCGATTCACACCTGACGGATCCTTACACCCTGTCCCCCTTTGCTACAGTTGAATGGTTCATGTGGACAAGCCCCTGTGTCAAGGTTCCTTCCCCACTCTGAACTTTAGGGTACAGATGTGGGGATCTGCATGAAAACCTCTAAGCTTAACTACCAGCTTAGATCTGCTTTTGCTGCCACCACCCAAATAGTTTGAGTCATTTGGGAAACTCTGTCTTCCCCCACAAAACCTTTCCCTCCCTGGGTAGCCTTGAGAGACGCCTCCACCAATTCCCTGGTGAATACAGATCCAAACCCCTTGGATCTTAAAACAAGGAAAAATCAGATTCTTAAAAAGAAGGCTTTTAATTAAAGAAAGAAAGGTAAAAATCATCTCTGTAAAATCAGGATGGAAAATAACTTTACAGGGTAATCAGATTCAAGGAGCCCAGAGGAACACCCTCTAGCCTTAGGTTCAAAGTTACAGCAAACAGAGGTAAACCCTCTAGCAAAAGGAACATTTACAAGTTGAGAAAACAAAGATAAACCTAACACGCCTTGCCTGGCTGTTACTTACAAGTTTGAAATATGAGAGACTTGTTCAGAAAGATTTGGAGAGCATGGATTGATGTCTGGTCCCTCTTAGTCCCAAGTGCGAACAACCCCCAAAACATAGAGCACAAACAAAAGCCTTCCCCCCACCAAGATTTAAAAGTATCTTGTCCCCTTATTGGTCCTTTGGGTCAGGTGTCAGCCAGGTTACCTGAACTTCTTAACCCTTTACAGGTCAAAGGATTTTGGAGTCTCTGGCCAGGAGGGATTTTATAGTATTGTACACAGGAGGGCTGTTACCCTTCCCTTTATAGTTATGACACCCTGGCACAACTATATTTGTTCCTATTTCTCCCCTTTACTGCCCCCAACGTCCATTCACTCGAATGTCATTTCTGTCGCCATTGAAATGCCTGTCGCTGGCGGGTCTCCAAACCAGGGGTGGAACAGTCGGGCCCATGTGAAACCAGACGGGCGAGGGCTGCACGTGAGAGAGGGGGCAGCAGCCGGGATGGGCTCAAATCTAAATCTCCCTGAACCTGTCAGGCTCCACCTTCAAACACGCCGGGGTCTGGAACTGATCGGATGCGCCATTCACAGACAGTCGTGTCACAGACAGACAGAGAAATGCCGTTGGGCTGGGGGTGGGGCCTTCACCTGCTCAGGCAATGCAGGGCACATCCACCAGATTGAACAAGGTTTAACCCACCCTGTGACCGTCTCTCTCTCTCTCTCGGTTCTCAGTGCCCACGGGGAGCACCACCGAGAACGGGCTGCAGTGCCCAACCTGCTTCGCTCTGAACTTCACTGTCTGCAACAACTCAGTCACCCCTTGTACCGGGGACGAGACCTATTGCATCGATTTCACTGGGTTTCTATACCAAGGTAAATGCTGCCAGCTGGCCGCAGTGCGGGAGCTACCCCGGGAATCTCACACCCCAGGAACTCCCCCGAGACTGGTGAAAACTAGTCTGTGCTGGGCCCTGGGGCGGGTGGGGGCAGCAAGGGGGGGTTTTGGCCGGAGGGAAGGAGAGAGGAACTTGGAAGTTTTCCCTTCCTCACCAGTTCCCCCCTCTCAGTGATGCCGCCCTGGTCCTGGAGTTATGACAACACGGTCTCTTACCATGGGAAGGGTTGTTATGTCGATGATGCAGAGCTGGGAGAGAACCCAGGAGTCCTGGCTCCCAGCCCCACTGCTCTAACCACTAGACTCCACTCCCTGTATGTTTAAGGTGGAGCTAAGCTATTGCTCAGTGCGGAAGCTCCTGTTCTCAGTGTGTGTCCAGGACTCCCAGTGCTTTGGGGTGTTTATACAATAACTGAACCGAGCGGTTGGGACTGCCGGGGACGGTGAGAGCTGGGCGTGTTCCCCGGGGGGGCCGGGCGCTGGGGAAGGAGCCGCCCCCGACGATCAGCTGGTCCCAAACTCCAGCTTCAGTGTCTTGTGGAGCTGCAGAAAGGGGCGGGGGGAGACGAGAGGGGACCAGACGCCCCCCCTGCCCTGGCCGGTTACAGCAAGAGCAGGGAGAGCACCGGGCGGGTGGGAACAGGAGGCAGAGGTGGGAACCGCTGGATGATGGAGACAGAGGTTCTGGGGGCAGAGAAGGAACCAGAGCTGCCCACAGCTAACAGGCTGATTTCCTCCATCAGGTTCATCTCCTTCACCATTTCAAGCAAAAGGCTGCGCTACTGCGTCTGCTCAGGCCATTAAACCTGGAACCAACCTGGCTACTGCACTCTACACATTTAACTTTTTTTGGGGGTCCTCTGTTCTGGCACAGAAAATACCCACCAGCCCCCCTCCCATAACCACCCCCTCCGCTAATACCACCAACCCCCTTCCCACAAATGCCACCCCCGCTAATACCACCACCAGCACCACCCCCACTCCTACTACCACCACCACCACTACCACTATCACCCCTACAACCACCACCACCCCCAACACAACTACCACAAACAAAACAACCACCATCCAGAAAACACCCACCCCTACAACCACCACCACCAAACCCACTACCCCACCCAAAACCACCACCTCATCCAAACCCGCCCTCCCCGCCCATACAACCCACAGTGGGGCCAGCCCGGCTCTGGGGAAATTCTCCTTTGCCCTCTACCTGCCTGGCCTGACTGGGCTGCTGCTGGTGAAGCTGCTCTCCTGACCCACCCAGCACGGCCCACGCAGCACCTGGTGCCTGTGAATAAAGGCCTGAAGTCCCAGCTACCCCCCTCCGAGGCCCCTCCGCGCTGCCGGGGCGATGAAAAGGGGCCGCTGCATAGCCAAGGGTCTGCCCAGCGTATGGGTGAGCGTCTGTCCCAGTACCTCGCGGCTGGCTGGAATCTCTCTGTGTATTAGCAAATTCACCGAATAAATCAGGATGTGTTGTTATGTTGGGGTTGCCTGTTGCTGAGCCCGACCGCATGAGACTGGGGGGCTGTCAGATGCATTAGCCACAGAAGAATTTCCTTGTCTCTCTCTCTCTCTCTCTCTCTCTCTCTCTCTCTCTCTCTGTGTG